TTACAAATCTCGTCTAAATCTCGACTAAAATCTCACTCCAACATTCCTAAGTTTGTTGACAGATATATAGATCTAATTTAGAGGTCATTTGTGTCAAAAGTAAGTACTTGGTATGCCTGCAGACATGAAATTCGATTTGTTCATTCAAGCCCTATTTGACTATTAGATAATCTAAGATTTGATAAAACAGATTAACAAACTTTACTCCGTTATGGGGGCGTTCCTTTTCAGTCTGACTAGGATCAGATAACTAAAATACATCTATATATCATATTCTGAAGTTGATTTTAGATTAGCTTAAACAATTATATATTTAATATATCAAACTGTTACATCCAAATGTATGTAACACACTTTTCAATGTTATTTTTAGATGGCACTTTCCAAACCGAAAATTCCAGGCACTGCCCAACACTTTCTAGAGTGTGGTATTGAAGATTGTCAGAGAAATTGTGAATTCTACTGCAATTCATGTCATCAACAGATGTGTAAACAATGCAGAGACCAACATCTGAAGATTTCAGAAAACAAGAATCACGAGGTGGTCCTTTACCAACAACGTAAACGACAACTTCCTGTGGAGAAATGCAAGATTCACCCCACTAAAGATATTGATATTTTCTGCGAAGAATGCAATGTTCCTTTATGTTCAAAGTGTTCAACAATGCAAGATCACCGGGGGCATCAATTTATTGATTTAGAAATTATATACACAGAGAAATTTGAAATTTGCCAAAAGGAACTCTCTAAAATCCATAATTACTTTGTTCCTACATCACAGGATTTACAAACAGAAGTTCGGGAAGATGCCACAGAAGTTAACCAGATCATGAACAGCATACGGACGTCCATGAAGGCTGAAGCTGAGTCTCTCAAAAACATGGTGGACACAGTGCTCTCAGAAAATATGGAAGAATTACACCAAATAGAGAAGTCATTACTGGAGAAATTAGAGAGCCAAGAGAAGACATTTGATGATTATATTACCTATCTCAGTGACCTTGTTAAAGAGTTCCAGAGTTACCTGTCCTCTACTGAGCTCACTAACTTCACAACTCAACTGCCAGAGAACTTACAAATAAAATCCATACCAGAAACCATAAATCCTGTTATTCCAGAATTTTCTTCTGCTCAATACAGCAAAAATGATGTTGCTAAATTACTAGGAAAGATAATTATAACAGATAGAAAAGGGGAACTAAGAAAAGTACATGTAAAGCCAATAGAAATTGATTCTTTTTCTACATCAATGAAATCTGCAGGTGAGCAAACTAAACAAGATAAAGATGTGAAATCTGACAAGAAACAAACATTGTCTCTATCTGCCTCTGTCACCAAGGTCAGGGAGTTCAATGTACCAGGTATTGGTGATGTATTCCATGTATCACTAGGTCAATCAGACAGATTCTGGATCAGTGACTATTGGGGTATTCTTGTCCAAACAGATCTACAGGGGAATGTGATACAGAAGATAAAAACCAGTGGTGAATTTGACGGTTACCACACAGTCACACAGGACAGAGATCTGATCTTTACAGACAAAGACAAGAAAGTCATCAATAGGATAACACAGGATAATAATATCACCGAATTCGTTAAAACTGGAGACTGGACACCATACAGCATACACTCCTCCCAAATCAACGGGGACTTACTGGTGGGGATGAAAAAGAGTGGAAAGGGTAAAGTCAACAGGTACAACAAGACAGGGAAAGAACTACAGAACATACAGAGAGATAACAAAGGACAGGGACTGTATAGTACACCACACTACCTCACAGAAAACATCAATGGAGATGTATGTACATCAGACTATAGTAAAGTAGTGGTGGTGAATAAATCAGGACAACACAGGTTCTCCTACACAGGTCAGAAGTCACAGTTCAGTCCCTATGGAATCTGCACTGATGTACTTGGTCACATCCTGGTGTGTGATCATTACAGTAATTCTGTTCACCTCCTTGATCAGGAAGGTCAGTTCTTGTCTCTATTACTCACACAACAACAAGGTGTACATCATCCACGTAGTGTGTGTGTTGATGGTGAGAACAATCTCTATGTGGGACAAAAAGACACCAACACTTTGACAGTATACAAGTATCTGAAGTGATTATAATTCTATAAGTTGTACAGAATTATAAAGCTTAATTTTGTGATTTCCAGCACATAAATGTATATCATGAATGGTGTTTATTCTATACTAAACAAACTGTACATACTGTAAATTTATTTCAATGGAAAAAAAAATGTACAAACACTAGTACTTCTTTGGATTCGAAATTAAAAAAAATATCTGTCTATTAATGTTGACAAAATATGACTCAATTTTCAGTAAAATACAATTATAGTGAATGCTCATCCTCAGTAATTAATTCATGCTTTACAATGAAATGATTTAATTTTAATACTAATGCTTTTCAAAACATATTGTTATCTTAAATATACAATGAATTAAAATAACAACGTACATGTGATATTTTTTAGACCAAAATCCTGTACTGTTCAGTAGTCTTTGAAATGCTGGAATTATGGTGAAAATACTGTACATTGTTCATCCAAAAAGTATACACAAAATTGTACAATATATCAACCAAACTCATTTTAAGAGGGTAATTTTTTATTTATGAATTTCAAATCAATGAAAAAATGTTACAGTGCACGCAGTGTTAAACGTCATTACTCATTTCAAGAAACTCTTGCAGCTTTTAGAATTTCAGCCATCCCTATGGTTAATGCTGAACTTGGTAAAACGACTTCCATAGTACAGTGTTTAATGCAAGAGTCTGGTCATCTCAATTCATTTACAATTTTTAATAATTCCAAAAGCATTTTTCTTCCTCTGTGTTAGAATGGACAATACTTAAGCCTAAGCAGAAAAGTCAAAGATTAAATTTTGTGTTGCTGTCACTCAGTTGCGCTGTCAGATTATAATTTCGCTTCTCTTTGCAATGTCACCCGCCTGGCACAGGGGTTAGAGCGTCTGCTCTAGAGTTGCAAAGTAAGGAGTTGAACCTTATGTCGCGGGTTCCAATACCACTGTAAGACGTCTAGACCGTTCTTCGGATGAGACTGTTTAAACCGAGGTCCTGTGTCGCAGTAGGTGCTGATCTCTCACTGCTCAATAGCCCTGGGTGCCGAGTATTAGACAAAATTTGAAGAAATCAACCGGTAAGTTGTGGCATCTCCATATGAGTGAAGAATTCTTGAGAAGGACGTTAAACAACATACAATCAATCAATCTTCTTTGAAATGTCTCTTTTTAATTTCTACTGACAAACTTTTAACTATTTACATTAAAAAAAAAACTTTATAAGGGTCTAATGAAAAAAAATTAGTCCGCCTTTACAAGAGGCACATAGACCTTATAGATCACCTGAGTATGATGCAACAACTTTCTACAATTGAATTTGGTTTGTGTTTTAAACAAGAAACGATGATATTCACAATTTTGAAAGAGGCACCATTGCTCAACATAACTATACACTTATCATGCTTAAATTTCATAATACTCAGAGACAGAGAAGGAACAAAACAAAACAAGAGGCACAGGGGCCTTGAATCACTCTTCTGATAAATTGTACAACCTATCACTGCTATTTGAAGCCTCTAAGTACCGGAGTGTATATTAAAATAAAGCCTTGAAATTCAAAGGGTAAGTCGTCATGACCTACATTTTAGATAAAACACTCTGAGAACCCAAGATGTTTCTGAACCAATTAATACCTAAGACTAGGTCATAGTGACCTACTAAGAGTAGGTCATGGTGACATACTTATCTACCTTTCAGTACACATACTACGAGGACCTATGATGCAACAACTGACTAAGCCAGTTAATACCTAAAATGTTTCATTATAACCATAAAATTTTTTAAGTAGGTCACAGTGACCTACTTTTCAGTTGACATACTCTGAGGACCCAAGATGCATCAACTGACACAGTGTAATGATTCTAAGCCAATATGTACCTGAAAAAATATTCAATCAGATCACAGAGACCTACTTTTCAGCTGACGTACTCCAAGCACCAAGATACATCAACCAACAAAGTTTGACGACTCTAAACAGATTAGTACCCGAAAACATTTAAATATAGCAATAAAATCCCAAAAGTAGGTCAGAATTACCTATATTTAAGTCGACATATACCGAGGACATAAGCTGCATCAACTGACAAAGTTTGATAATTCTTAACCAAATAAGAACTGATATATTTAAATAAGGTAATAAAATATTAAAAATGGGTGACCGGTCACAGTGACCTACTTTTCAGTCAACAAACTCTGATGTCTGGTGTTTCCAAGCCAGTTAGTACCTGAAGTCAAAAAGGCGATTAAAAATGGCAGATATTTCACAAAATACTCAAACTGCTTATAATTCTTACTTGTTTTGCAGAAAATAAAATGAAACAAACTACAGTTTACTTATCTAAATTAAAAGAAAAATGTTTTTTAAAAAATATTGAATAAATCTTTGAAGCCATTGTTGTTAAATATGATATATGATTTTTATGACATGGATCTTTGTTTTATGGCTTCTCATATTAAGGCAAACTTTTGACGAAATCTACCAAAAACTTATACCTATTTATATTCGATTCTTTTATTAATGTTGAATTCAAAAGACTCAAGTCAAACTCCAAAGTCAAGGGATCAGAGATATTGGTACTCAAAGAAAGGTCTTGACACAAGGAATACACCTGTGAAATATAAATCAATTTGTCTTTCATAACAATATGCATGTAATAAATCTACAAAACAAATTATTTTCTATTACTATAGTTTAAGCTCATTTCAGTTTATCATAACGTGTAAGATACTGATGCCAAAGTGAGGATGAACATGTATGATACAAGCTTACATTTTCAAAACTTCATGGACTAGCTGACCCAAAGAAGGAGATGTACCATCATGTATATTATGACTATGGACTGACTTCAACAAACTCCAAGCTTTTGAGTTTTGACTATTTTTTCAACTGTGTACACATAAACAATACACATTTTGAATAACTGATAGTTTATCAAACCCCATCAAGCTTCCACACAAAACAAGTGACATGTTATCTAAGAATTTTAATTTTAATAACACTAAAAACATGTTTCTATAACAACAAAAATAACACTATGGTGTACAAAGTGTAAAAAATACATGTATGACTCGACAATGAATTTAACATTCATAAATTCAGATACAAACAAATCTTTTTAATCACTGCAAGTACCTCGTAACATTTATATAAAAAAGTAAGATATTGTGTCAGTATACATTGTAGAAAATTTTTACTGTGCAAGAAAATGAAAAAAACCAAACTAATCATCAAAACGTATTTTCTTTTTAAAGTTATACAAACGCTATCAAAAATAACAGTTGAGCAACTAAATGGAAGTAGGATGCAACATAACAGATAAAGTACCATTCTTGTATTGGGGAGTTAATGTTCATACACTTGCAAAAACACTATTTCAGGCAAAGGGAAGTAACTCATACCACGTCACTATTTAATAGTGAACTCATTTCCAATGTCATGTTTAGTTTTAATCATGGAGCCTTTACATTGTGAAGACCATACCAATAAAGTATTCATAAAAATATACCGGTGATTTACCCAGCATTATATTCATAAAATACTATATAAAATACAGTGAAACCTCATTATATAATGACTCAATGGGTAAAATACTTATCAGATATCATAGGATTCCACATACTTAGAATAAAATACAAAAAGAAGCAGTGGCGGGAAGATCCAACTCACTTTAGACATATTCTGGTGTTTGACAAATTGGATGTTCAAGATACCAAAGTTCAATTGTGTTTCAGTTTAGACTCCTCCAAATCTTGCTGACCCTCCTTCAATGGCATGGTATATGACAGGTGTTCATAAAAGCTTATGATGTCAATCACAATTTGTACACAAAAGGTTTATAGTATCTACACATATTTCTTTTTCTCTTTATAACTAAACATCTTAAAAAATGCCTGTTAACAAATACTAGATACTATATATATATCACAGATACTGGAATCGAGAAACTGCTTAGCACTACAGTGCAATACATTTACAAATACTTGTACATTGTATCACATTCAAGTACTTGGCAGAAAACTTACAGTATGTTTTTACATTTGACTGTAGCGAAATAATTTCAAACTCTACTTAATTTTAAAAATTTAATTTCATAAAATTTCAGGTGATAGAAAATCTATGTATGATCATCAGAATATCTGCAGTCTTACAATTACATTGTCAAGATTGCTACATGTATTACAGCTGTTAAAGTATAAATTTCTTGAAGAAAATATTTTAAAAAATTTCTTTAAAATATAACTTTTTTTAAATAGATAGTGTATACAATGTAAGGATAAAAATATATCTGTAAAATATACACATAGCTTCTTTTCCAATTGTTGCAACTGAAAACATAACAATATTCATAATGAATTCGATTTTTTATTTTATCAATTCCATCATTTCACTAACACTGAATATTTTTCTCACCGATTAAAATACCGTATAATCCCTAATAACCGCCCAAGGTGCTTAGAAAATTGCGAAAATGTTATTTTGGTATTCTCTTTTAACATTTAATATATCTTAACTTCAAAAAATATTTTGAACAAAAATAAATTCAAAGAATCTCCAAAATAATGTCTAAGTTTACTTTAAAGGAAGATAATCAATGCTAAATGAATCATTTTCCACCAAGAAATTGGATAATGAACAAGTTTCATTGTCAATTCCTTCAAATTTTGGTAGACTTTTGATACGATTCTTGATAATTCTATGCACTGTACAGGGGGGCCTTATTTCCTGACAATTGAAAAAGACCCAAGGGGGCGCTTATAGGGGCAGTTTATAGGGATTATACAGTAAGTTTTTTTAATTGCTTTTAACATGACATGTTACAAAATGGTTTTAAAGGAAGATGACATCATTCTAGCAACATTACTTTAACATTTTCTGCAAAAAGTCCAGGCCCCTTTCTAAAAAATGTGAATTCTTTCCATACAATATATTACATTTTTTAGCAAATAAAAATAAATATACTATGCCCATTGAAACAATTACTTAAATCTGAGTTTATATGGAAATGGACAATGCAGCTATGAGACACTGAAATGAATGCCTTAGCAATAGACATTGCTGCTGACTTTGGATAAAAATACCCACAGACACACAAGCAGGTCAATTCTAAACTTTCACACTTTTATATGTCACAGTTTCTGCAAGTAAATGTAACCATCAAGTCACAGTGATTATCTAAACCAATATGGTAGATAGTTCTGGTACAAATTGATGACTAGTGTCCATTTTGCCTGGAATTCAGTGTTAGATAGTGGTTAGCCTCTAGAAGAGCCACAGCAACACAGTTCTGAAACGGATTCCCTGAGATAATTTGTGTATGTTTTGAGCTCACTTGGGACTGCTTCATCCTTGGAATGCATGGTACTCACTACCAGAATGACCTAATTCCTTGGCAAATCTGCAAAAAATTATACACACAAAATTAAAGATTAAGACATTGCTTTTGAATTGCAATTAAGACACAACCTCAATCACCATCTTATGCTAAATACATGTTCATTTTAAACAAAAGTGCTGTAATTATCTTTTTATTTGCGAGAACTTTATTTTCACATAATTACACGAGACAGCGTATATTTTCGCTTATATTCAGTTAGTATTCTTAAAAAATACATAGAGCAGGACCACATTTCATGAAAAAATTATCTTGCTAATGAAGAGTAAAATAAGGTGTCGCATAAATTAAGGTAGGATTCTTCTCACATTTCTTGTATTTAAAAATTAATGAAATTTTCACACAATCAAGAGGACAATATCACTAAGTGATGATATGAGTGGGATTAAATTTGACCATATAATATTAGAGGCAAGGTCAGGTCAAGGTCATTACCTTTTTCCTGTACATTAAGAATAAAAAAATTACTGTTTCCAATCATGCAATCCCTACTTGTAATTCAAAAGATTGAATGTTTTTCTTTTTGCATAAAAAGATACTACCATATAGGGCCTATAAGATGATATTACCAAATTGACATGGATAATTTAAATAAAATGGATATTTGGTAATCCGAATTTCCTCTACTTTTCTTAAATTTTTAGGATTTATTAGTTATTTTTATATGCTTCCTATATTTAACTTTTTCCAATTTTCACATATAGTAAAGTTGTCACATAAAGGTACAAAATAATACAAAAACTAAAAGATTTGATCGTTTACTAAGAGAGAAATAACACTTTTTATGGATTTTTGGCTCAAATCTGTACTTAGATTTGAAGCATTTAAAAACCAACATAGTTCTAGTATGTGTGAAAAATCTTATTTATTTGATATATTTTGAAACTTTAGTCCCTTATTATTAATTCAACTTACATTTGAAAATTTCTTCTAGTCTTTGATTGCGTAAAAATTATAACTAATTTCAATGTTCTATAATAATTTGAGAGGCAGAAAAGAAAATATTTTCATACGCCACCATTCCGCCAAAAATATAGTCCCTGCTAGTTTTCAAACGCAGTTTACCATTTCTATTTAAAGTTGTTTAATTGTGATGAGGAAAGAAAAATATGATCTTTTAAATCTCTTACATCTAAATATATAAGACATATCAACAAATGTACTGTAATGGCCAGGGGTAGAATTCAATTAATTAGTTATTTTTTTATGATTTAAATGTGTCAACATTTATTGGGAATATCTGCCAATATCTGGGTGGATTTTATTATGCATTAACGACACTAGGCCTACTACATTTCAGTCCTTTGATTGTTTACCCAACATGGTATTGTCTATATATATAGCACATTTGGCATCCTTGTTGTTTGAATTTATAAAGAAAATCCTATATTTTATGAATTCATGTGCATACCTTCAAAATCTTTGCATGTTACTGTATTTTACTTGATTATTTATGAGTCAAATAAGCGCTTGACATAGCCATAATTTCACACGATTGTTGGAGTCATGGAAGTTGTTTACATCCTGCCGACATCTTATTTGTATTACGTATTTGAGTAAGTGTTTTGTTATGCAATCCGATGTTATAATTGCTTGTGAATATCCACAAAATTAATGTTTGAATATGTTTTACTAAGATTTATCAAGGGTTTTTACGTTAAACGGGATTTAATGGTAGGCCTAGTTACACATTTTTACTTTGACAAAGCTAGGCCTATTTATTTGAATATCATCTGCTATACGATTGCAGTTTTCTATCATGAAATGCTTGTTTAATTCACATGGATTGTTTACTTACTTATTACAGACACATCTTTTGTAATCCACATTTATTGTTTATTTTTGTCTTTTCTCATTTTAATTCCGTTTAGTAGTTATTATCCTCATTATACGACAGCCTTGTTTGACACTGTTTGACAGATCTCTGTTTGTACGGCGCCGTACAGCGCTGCGGTTGGTTGAGTGACACCGTACAGCTTTTTCGTTGGTCAATTTGTATCACATGACTACTTCCAAAGGTTATAAATACAAGTGCCTCGCCAGTCTCTGGCAGATAAGTTGCACAAGCAACATCGCAGGAGTAGCCTAATCCTAGGTGAGACAACTGTAAATTATCTCCCAACACACTGGACACCTGATGTTAGATTTCTAAAAGCTTTTTAATGTCAAATCAACTTTCTTACCATTTTAACCATTAAAGTAGGGTTGACACTAAGGACCAAAAACAAATATTAATTATCTATATGTATCCAATATAGATGTTTGTTTACCTACTGTTATTTTCTGTTGAATGATCAATTATTAAACCGATACCAAGCCTTGTCCTTACTGAGAAATATGAAGCAAGAAATAAGGAGTGACTTTGAGAAGTGTTTGTGTGCAATTACTTTGTATAGCCCCCATTCCAGGATGGCCATCCGTGGGGAGCTTACAGTACTTTGAATATTCCATCTAGTCAGAAACCAGAGAAGAATCCTACCTTTTGTGATTTTACACTTTACAGTAATTAAAGGTTTTACCACTTGTGTGGTTTTGACAGAAAGGCCCTAGACTCGAGATCCCTATGTGTTTGTCTGTCAAATGACCCAACATAAGGGACAACTCTATATGCATTTCAGACTTACTTAGTAACTAAATTAGTAAATGGAGTGGGACCACAGGCACATATAAGTAGACTGGACTGATTCTTCTGTTGAGGTAATGAGTTCTTCATCAGATCTAGAGTTATCCTTCCTGTTCTACCATGCCAGCTTTCACTGGCCTCGGACAGAATGTACTCAACAGAAAATCTGTACAGAAAGCAAACAAAGATACATCAACTAGTCAACAGTTACCTGCCATCACTTACTATTGAATGATCATTCATAGGGGGATCAATGTACCTGAATTTCAAGGGCCACCCTTATCTCCATTACATCCCTGCCGATAATTTGCCAATGCATGGTTTCATTTAATCTCCTGATAATCAAGTTATCCACAATATTACTTCATGAACCAGCAGATTTGAGTTTCCCAACAACCCCCCCCCCCCACACACACACACTTGAAGGTAGTACTTATAAGGTCTATTGACAATAGTTCCATGAAAAAATTACAGTCCAAAAAAATTATACTGTATACAGGGAAATTTTCACCCCCTTTTTATTTTCGCCCCTTTCCCCCTAGTCGGAAGTGGGCGAATTTAAAACTGGGCGAATTCAAAGTAAACTGTATAAAATCTTATACAAAAATCTTTTGGGGCGAATTTAAAATGGGGCAAACTTGTTTTTAGATGTGAAAGGGCAAAAATAACACGGGGCGAAAATAACCCTGTACATACAGTATTCATTTTAATGACAAAGCCATCATACATTTCCATATTTAAAATAACCAAAAATTTCATTCATTTGAAATTATGCAGACCATGTCCTAGACAAACATTTACAATCTACTCAAATTGATTTTCATATGATGGAAAATAACATGATCCCACATTGTCAATTAAGTTACAAAACATTTAACAAACCTGTCATTCTTCTCAGCTAAAGCCTGTAGTTGGTCATACCATAGAATGTCTTCTTCCTTCTTATTGAAAAATAATAACTTAACATTTCTGAAAAAAAAGAAATCATTGGCTAAACATTATATCCAATTTAGTCATGAAAGTCATGAAATTGAGTTCAAATTCAGAAAAATTACATTATATGTAATACATAAAACTGTCCATACCTTAGTTTATTGAAAATATAGACTTAGAAACTGAGTCCTTTATACACCATATTGTTTTACTTACACTAATGACTTAGGGTCCTCTATACAGTGGTTAATGATGCGGACCATTGGTGTAAAACCCGTTCCTGCAGCAAACATGACTAAATCCTGACACACAGACAGACGCTGCTCATCAAAGTCCCCAGTAAATGTACTGACCTCCACTAGGTCATCTGGAATGAGGTTCAAAGTTCAAGATTAATTTACATTTTGATTTAGAAAATTACTGAGTTAAAAAGGCACCAAAATGTTCATTCTGTAAGCCCTACTTGTATCACAGGTACCATAGTTTCTACTTATTTTCTGATAAAAATTATAATAACTTTTTTAGTTCAATATGAAAGCAATTCTAGATTTTCATTGTGTTCATGTGCACTTCTATTTGTTTTGAGGAAAATCAAAACTCTTAATAAATCCTTTTAAATGGAAAGCCATGTATATTAAACCTACCTGTATTAAGGGAATCAATCCAGGGAGTGAGTGCTCCCCCTTTATAGATCTTAATCATCAGGTACAGGACTTTACCGTCCTTGACCCTTTTATCCTGCTCCCCGGTCATGGTCGGTAAAACAGCCGTGTAACTCCTAACCACCTCCATTCCTAAAACATGCAAAATATTGTTGAATTGAAATTAAAATAAAAATCATGCAAACTTAAAATCAACTGTAAAATTATTCATGTTTTTAAATATTTTGCTCCAATTATCCTAACATCATTTTGCCGATAAAAAAAACTTTTCCTTTAAATGCATGCATTAAACAATCTTGAAATCCATTTTCCTGATGCATAGACTGTGTGTTTACCTGAGACTTTATGCTTGATGTGGACATGGTATCCAATAGGTACACACATTCTGCTTCCAGTAGGAAGTGACAGACATAATAGCTTGGAATCATGGGTAACTTGAGATATACAATCAACGGCACACCTCCTGTAATCTATTTCTGCAATCAAAGAAATTCTGAACATGAAAAGTCTTTCCCTTCAGTGCCAAAACAAATTTATTTGTTAGCACATTTATTTCATAGATTAATCATATTATCTAAAATTCTTTATCAAAAAGTGCATACATGGCACTAACTTTATTTTTTTTCAACCTTCTTCCATCAGTCTTAAGAGATACTGGAAATTATGATGCATATTAATACAGTTGTACAGATACATTAAACTTGTTGGGTTTTTTCTTTTTTTGGAGATACAGACATACCGTAAATCTGGAAATTTTTACGTTGATTTTATTTTGCGAATTCGGTTCAAAATGGTGTTGATAAATTTTTGCGAATTACCACTGCTTTGTTTACATTTTCTTATTGGTAATTTATTTTTAAGAAAAATATTTTTGCGAATGCAATGAACACGCAAATTTGCTAAAAATTTATCTACAGCAAAAATTTCCAGATTTACGGTATGGACAAATGGAAAACTCAGTTCTATAAATATTAACAATCAGTAATCTTCCGTCAAACCTATTGAGGCCCTGTACCTTGGTTTTTGACTTTGACCACTTTGTTGTGTCTCTCTAGATTTCTGCCCAGGCTTGACCACTGCTGGTCAGGTCTCTCTTTTGTGAGTACAATTTCTGTTTTTCCAGTGTCCTTGATGACAGTGACTGAACAATAAAACATAAACAAGAGGCCCATGGGCCACATCGCTCACCTGAGTAACTTGGGTGATGCAGATCTTTACCAGATCCCCCCTCTTGCTATACCTATCATGCCCAACAACCCTCTTCCCTTTTTTATTTTAAAACTTTAGAATCTACACTACCCAAGGATGCTTCCACATAAGTTTCAGCTTCCCTGGCCCAGTGGTTTCTAAGAAGAAGATTTTTAAAGATTTGTTTTATATATTTCTATGTAAAACTTGGATTCCCTATTGTGGCCCCGCCCTACCCCCGGGGGTCATGATTTTGACAATTTAATATATCTACACTACCAAAGGATGTTTCCATATAAACTTCAGCTTTCCTGGCCCAGTGGTTCTTGAGAAGAAGATTTTTAAAGATTTGTTCTATATATATTTCTATATAAAACTTGGAATCCCTATTGTGGCCCGCCCTACGCCCGGGGGTCATGATTTTAACAATTTAATATCTACACTACCCAAGGATGCTTCCACATAAGTTTCAGCTTTCCTGGCCCAGTGGTTTCTAAGAAGAAGATTTTAAAGATTTGTTCTATATATTTCTATGTAAAACTTGGATTCCCTATTGTGGCCCCGCCCTACCCCCGGGGGTCATGATTTTAATAATTTAATATCTATACTACCCAAGGATGCTTCCACATAAGTTTCAGCTTCCCTGGCCCAGTGGTTTCTAAGAAGAAGATTTTTAAAGATTTGTTTTATATATTTCTATGTAAAACTTGGATTCCCTATTGTGGCCCCGCCCTACCCCCGGGGGTCATGATTTTAACAATTTAATATCTACACTACCCAAGGATGCTTCCACATAAGTTTCAGCTTTCCTGGCCCAGTTGTTCTTGAGAAAAAGATTTTAATAGATCTGTTCTATTTTTTCTATGTAAAACTTGGATTCCCTATTGTGGCCCCGCCCTACCCCCGGGGGTCATGATTTTAATAATTTAATATCTACACTACTCAGGGATGCTTCCACATAAGTTTCAGCTTTCCTGGCCCAGTGGTTCTTGAGAAGAAGATTTTTAAAGATTTGTTTTATATATTTCTATGTAAAACTTGGATTCCCTATTGTGGCCCGCCCTACGCCTGGGGGTCATGATTTTAACAATTTAATATCTACACTACCCAAGGATGCTTCCACATAAGTTTCAGCTTCCCTGGCCCAGTGGTTTCTAAGAAGAAGATTTTTAAAGATTTGTTCTATATATTTCTATGTAAAACTTGGATTCCCTATTGTGGCCCCGTCCTACCCCCGGGGGTCATGATTTTAATAATTTAATATCTACACTACTCAGGGATGCTTCCACATAAGTTTCAGCTTTCCTGGCCCCGTGGTTCTTGAGAAGAAGATTTTTAAAGATTTGTTCTATATATTTCTATGTAAAACTTGGATTCCCTATTGTGGCCCCGCCCTACCCCTGGGGGTCATGATTTTAACAATTTAGTATCTACATTACCCAAGGATGCTTCCACATAAGTTTCAGCTTCCCTGGCCCAGTGGTTTCTAAGAAGAAGATTTTTAAAGATTTGTTTTATATATTTCTATGTAAAACTTGGATTCCCTATTGTGGCCCCGCCCTACCCCCGGGGGTCATGATTTTAACAATTTAATATCTACACTACCCAAGGATGCTTCCACATAAGTTTCAGCTTCCCTGGCCCAGTGGTTTCTTAGGCCAGGTAAAATTAATCTTTAGATTCTCATCCTAATTTGCAAAAAAATTGGGGCGGGTGGGCGGATTTTATT